GTACAGCTGGAGCGAGAGGAGGAAGTCACAGGCCCTGTGATTGCGCCTCTCTTCCCACAGGTATGTCCTGGTAGCTGGCTTTTCCAGATGCCTACTGGAGGCCGTTTGTCCACTGGTAGAGTCAGAGTACAAGGGGCACTGTCACTGGGGAGAGACGTTTAGAGTAATGATGAAACATGAATCAGACTGAGAATTAATCTTGGGGACATTGCTTTTCTTTTTAAAGGGAGGGGGAGAGACAGAGAGAAACATCGATGTGAGAGGGACATATTGATTGGTTGCCTCCTGCACGTGCCCTTGACTGGAAGGGAACCTGGGACGCTTTAGTCCGTAGGTTGATGCTATATCCACTAAGCCAAATCTCTAGGGCCATTGATATTTTTTTTTTTTTTTGCCTTAACAGCTTAGATGGCTGGTCATTGTTAAAAATAGCAGTTGAACAATCTTGCCAGTCTGTAATTGTTAAAACACATTTGTCTTTAACATTAAATTAAATGGTTCCAGGGTGTGCTTTTTAAAAAATGTATTGTTGATTTTAGAGAGGAAGGGAGAGGGAGAGATAGAAACATCAATAATGATAAAGAAGCATTGATTGGCTACTTCCCGCATGCCCCCTATTGGGGATTGAGCCCACAACCCAGGCATGTGCCCTTGACCGAACTTGAACCCAGAACCCTACAGTCTGCAGGCTAACGCCACCGAACCAAACCAGCTAGGACTAGGGCATGCTTTTAAAGATTAAAAGCAGAAACCAGATATACTAAGTTTATTTCTACAAGCCGGTTTAATACGCTCTGAGGAATGATGCTGGGATCTAGAATTCTTGCGCTTCCTCAGTGGAGTGGCAGCAGGTGCCTTAGTAGATGCTCTCTATGGCAGACTCCTCTCCCTGTTTACGTGTCAGTCTGGCACATGTGCCTTAAAGGGGTGTCTGAAGAGCTCAAACTGCCAGGCCAGAGGGTCTCGATCTCTGACAGTGGAATCTTGGAGGAGAAGGGCCAGAACAAAAAAAATGAGTCCATTTGCTACTTAGAATTTGAAACTATTACAAGGTATCTCAAATGAACTCAATTTTAGTTTTGTCAAATTATATTTCAGGAGGAAATTTTAAAAATCTTTATCTGGTTTTTGTTTTCCTACTTTTGTAACCATTCTCATGGTCTCATATGGCTGTCACATTTCATTTTATTTTTTAAAGTCTTTATTGTTGAAAGTATTGCATAGCTGTCAAGTTTTATGTGCTGAAATCCTTGGCTTTTGGTCACTGCAGAAACGTGAAGAAGGCTGGTGGGTGGTGATCGGAGATGCCAAGACCAATAGCCTCATCTCCATCAAGAGGCTGACCCTGCAGCAGAAGGCCAAGGTGAGTGTCCAGTGGCCCAGCATTCGTTCTGAGGCGGGCGGGCGGGCGGGTGGGAGCACTCCCTGTGTCCCGCTCACCCTGATTGCTGCCTGCTCTCTAGGTGAAGCTTGACTTCGTGGCCCCAGCCCCTGGAGCCCACAACTACACTCTGTACTTCATGAGTGACGCTTACATGGGATGTGACCAGGAATACAAATTCAGTGTGGACGTGAAAGAAGCCGAGACAGACAGCGACTCGGATTGAGTGCAGAGGCCTTTGCATAGAGTTGAAACTTGCACAATTGAATGGGATTGCAGCCATGGAGACCAGGTCTGTTGGCTGGGAGAACTGGCAGTCGACACAGGTGCCGTCCCAGCCCACCTCGTTTTCCTCTTGCTACCTGCCATCCAAACTGGATCCAGTGTCTGCAGGTGTCGTGTAGCTGTCAAGCATAAACTGTACAGCATTTTTATGCTTGTTCTTGGTATTCTTTGGTTACAGAATCAAACATTCTAATAAAATAAGTTGAGAAACCATTTGTTGTATCAGTGATTCCAAATTAAATCTCCTTTTGCTAACCTAAGGCCTATGACCAAAAATATTTTTTTAACCACTGAACTTGCTTAGAAGGAATACTTCTGGAGGACAAGGCTATTTGTTGGGCCGTCATAGGCGCCATTTGAGCCAGTGTGGAGGAGGAGGGGTTAGGTAACTTCTCTTCAGTCAGTATTCCTGCCCCCATCTGGTAACCTGGATATCATCACCACTGCAGGAACTAACACAGCTGCAGGGACAGATCCTAGGCTAGAAATTTCTCAAGATCTGTATAAACACCCTTCCCCACTCCAGGTACATTGAAATGTACCTACTGGGTACACTGATACTGTGATCCAGATCTGCAAGCTTTTTAAAAATATATATATATTATTGATTTTTTACACAGAGGGAGAGAGCTAGAAACATCAATGAGAGAGAGACATCCACCAGCTGCCTCCTGCACACCCCCACCAGGGATGTGCCCGCAACCAAGGTACATGCCCTTGACCGCAACTGAACCCGGGACTTTTCAGTCCGCAGGCGGACGCTCTACCGCTGAGCCAAACCGGGTTTCAGCAGCTTTCTACCGTGTTTCCCCGAAAATAAGACCTACTTACAGGTTTCCTTCTGAGTGAAATATGAGGCATCCCCCCGAAAATAAGGCCCCCCCACTAGGCTAAACATGAGAGATTTGGTCCACTGATTCTGAAAGTAATGGAGTCACAAGAAATTCACCAGGAAATTCAGGAATTGGATTGTTATGATGATGTTCCAGAAGATGACATGATTGTCATTGAATAAATGAGAAAATTCTGGATACTGTAGGATTCAGTTTGTCCGGTTTGTGTTGACAACTACCGTACTACCGTACCGTATACAGGTAATAAATTTCCTTTATTTTCATTTAACAATAAATGTGTACCATATTCTTCTTCATGGAAAAATAAGACATCCCCTGAAAATAAGACCTAGTGCAGCTTTGGGAGCAAAAATTAAGACACTCTTATTTTCGGGGAAACAGGGTACTTCAAATTCTTGCCTTCTGCTCTTGAGGAATAACTGCGTAAAATTAGATGATTCTCAAGGGTAATTTCCTTAGGTCTTAGGAATCCTTTACAGTATAAAATTTAAGAACCCCAAAGAGGTTATGATCCATTGATAATTTATTATATTAAAAATAAAAACAGCCCTGGTCGGAGTGGCTGTTTTTCGCCCTGTGCACGTGTTGCTGGTTTGATTCCTGGTCAGGGCACATACCTAGCTTGTGAGTCAGTCCCTGGTGAGGGTGCGGAAGGTAACCGATTGATGTTTTTCTCTCTTCCTCTCCAAAATCAATAAAAACATTACTTCCAAAGCAAATCCAGGGAAAAGAGCAGCCTGCAATGTTTTTAAAAAGCTCATTCCTGTCTGATTTAATAAGACAGGGATTTTTGTAGTTGCTTTGTTATTTAAGTTGAAGTAAAGCTGACTTTATCCACATGAGCAGTTGGAAAGGAAGTTTTTATAGCCAGTTCAGGAAATTGTGGCTATTCGATGCTGTAGTGAGACTCCATAAATAGTAGTTTCTTAGGTGGAATGTGGAATCTGAAATCTTATCAATGAGCTTCTTGTACTGTTAAGACCCACGGTCTCTCTTACCTGTTACCCACGAGTGATTCTGTAACATTATGCATTAATTGTTTGGAAAATGCTGATTCACTCAATCAGGCAAATCTTCCAAACGCTGACATTTCATCCTACAAATCACATTTGCTGGTACCACCACCAAAGTCGGGAGAGTCTAAGAATTGGGAAGATGGCAAGCTCATGGTGCAAGTTTTCCAAAATTCTAATTTTTACTTGAAAGCTTGATCACTGGCAATGCTATCAGTTGCCGTGAAAGGCTCATTCATTTCCTAGAAATCAACGGCCAGGTAGCCAAGCAATTTGATACCACAATTTGCTACTTCTTTTAAGTAAAAATGGTAGATAGCTCACTCAGCTACACATCTGCTTTTCCTCAAGACAGACCTCTGCTTCTGGATGCTGCCATTGCCATCAACCTTCCCAAGGGTCAAGATCTTATAGCTTGTATGTGTTCTTTTTTTTTAAAATATATTTTTATTGATTTTTTTACAGAGAGGAATAGTTAGAAACATGGATGAATCATCGATCAGCTGCCTCTTGCACACCCCCTTCCGGGGATGTGCCCGCAACCAAAGTACATGCCCTTGACTGAAATCGAACCCTGGACCTTTCAGTCCGCAGGCCGACGCTCTATCCACTGAGCCAAACCAGTTTCGGCGCTTTTATGTGTTCTTGAAGGACATTTCCAAGTGAAGTTGACAATACTGCTGTGAGAGTGTCACAGCTAGTGGCTCAGCTCAGTGGTTAGACCTCCAGCCCACACACCAAAGGGTCAAAGGTTTGATTCTGGTCAAGGGCATGTACCTGGGTTGCAATTTTCATCCCTGGCCCTAGCTGGTTTGAATGCATGCAGGAGGCAACCAATGGGTGTCTCGTATTGATGTCCCCCCACCACCATCCCTTTCCATTCTTGCTAAAATAATGGAAAAATATCCTCGGATGATTTAAAAAAAAAAGGTTTAAGAAAACGCAAAACTATAACTACTAGTTGGTGCCACTACCATAGTTCCTGCCAACATATCAACAACTGACCTCTCAGACCCAACCTCCAGGGGCTTGGGTTGGTACTGCTCCAGCTGCCACTTCAGTCTGTCATTATTTCTGTTGTATAAAAGATTAATGAAGGCCATAGCTTTGGGGAACTGTCCTCAAGTCAAAACCGATACGGAAATGACAGAACTGATCGCCCATGGCCGTGATTCACCACACTTTTTTCTTTTTTTTTAAAATATATTTTATTGATTTTATACAGAGAGGAAGGGAGAGAGATAGAGTTAGAAACATCGATGAGAGAGAGTCATCGATCAGCTGCCTCTTGCACACCCCCTACTGGGGATATGCCCGCAACCAAGGTACATGCCTTTGACCGGAATCGAACCCGGGACCTTTCAGTCCCCAAGCCGACGCTCTATCCATTGAGCCAAACCGGTCCCGGCTCACCACACTTTTTTCATTATCACTCTCTTAAAGAGCTGTATCAGACAATTTCTTTTAAAATCCTCACCCAAGGATATTTTTTCCATCGATTTCTAGAGTGTAGAGGAGGGAGAAGGGGAGAGAAACATTAATGTGAGACATTGATTCATCTCCCATATGTGCTCTTACCAAGGCTGGAGAACTTGTAACCAAAGTATGTGCCCTTGACTGGGAACAGAACCTGGGACTCTTTGGTCCAGCCGTTGCCAACCCTTCAGACCCCACGAACTACCATGTCCGCGGTCTACAGGTGAGCACTCTAACCACTGAGCAACCGACCAGAGCTCTATCAGACATCTGTTTCCTACTTGCCCTCACCATGAAAACTGAATACCATACATTGTATATTGTGTACTAGTCCTTTAGAGGGCCACAAATCATTGTCTCTATGATTTTTCTGTCCTTCACTAAAGAGCCAATTTACAGCCCCATTGAGAATGCATGGCCTATGGTGCAAGTTTTAGAGTTCACACCCTTCCCTTTTTGGCATTCCGCAAGCAATAGAAGATGCACAAAGGTTCCTAAGGGAAAGCAGAGGTGTCTTACTTTAGCCTACACTAGAAAATCTTCACTACTGAGGGAATGTCTTAAATGCAAGGACTTCAGGAGAAAGCAGGAAGGCAGGACCTATTTCAGAAAGTAACTCAGCGTGGAAATGTTTTACATTGCGAATGTTCTAATAATATAAATAAGACTTGGGACTCAGATGGATTATTTCTGTAAGGCTTACAATTTCAGAAAGGTCTGAGGTACATGCCTCCGATATATCAACATGGTGATTATTAGTACATTCACTCCACAAACTTTAGCACTGTGTCCTGACTGGAAGCAAAACCCGTGGCATAACTACAAGTACTCTCCTTCTGCAGTTCTTCCAGGGCCCACGCCAACATGGGAAGGAGTGGTCCTAAGGCTCCGAGCGCACGTCTACCCAGGTCTGACCGGGACAGCCAAGTTAAAGGCAGGCCAGGCTGCTCTTCCGGGTCTTCTTGAGCTAGAAAAGTCTTATGACATTTTGGGGGGAACCATGATTCTGAGAAAGTCAAGGTGGTTCAGAGGCCTTCGAGCCGTTGATACTTCCAGAAGGCCACCTCCCCATCATCGCTGCAGGAGGCCAGAAGCCCGGGCTCCTTGGGGTTCCAGGCTACACAGTTGACATCCTGTGAGTGGGCCTGGGGCAAGTGCGCTGTCAGGGAGAAGGTGGGCTGCTGTGGGTCTGAGCCAGGGTCCTCCTCAAACACGCGAATGGCATCGTCCCCACAAGCTGTAGCCAGGGCCCCTGTCAGCGAACACCTGGGAGGAACACGTGCATCAGTGATTATGCTGGTGACTCCTCCCTCCCAGCCCAGCAAGTTAGCAGCGGATGCTGATTTTATAGGCCCTGGTTGGCTGGCTGGCTGGCTTCCCAAACTTCTGGCTTCAGCTAGCATGTCTTACTGAAGAGTTCCCCTAATTAATATATAGCCACAGACATCACCCCCTCAGCATTCAAGTGCTGCCATCCAACTTTTCCCCAATACAATTAACCTAAAAAACTAAGTAAGATTCTGAATTACACTTTTGTCACTTAGCATAAGCAATTTCCCTTGTCATAAAGTTTGCTAATCATTTTTTAAAAAGTGGTATAACAGGCCATTGAATTTTACTACACTTAAGCCTGTTTTGGTTAATTCCAAATGTTTGTCGATGTAAATAAAGCTGAGAGGCACATCGACTTTTTTCATTATTTAGGACTATTCCTAGGGATAGATTCTTAGGGCCAGAACTATCAAAGCACATGGTCTGACTTCTCTAAAATGTCTCCAAATTGGGGAGTGGAGTGGAGATGGGGAAAGGAGCTGGAGGAATTACCAAGCAATGTCGTAGATGGTCCTGGAGTGGAAGCCTGACAAAGTGCAGACACATTTCCAGCTGGGGTCAGAGCCGCTGCACGCCACACCTGTGCAACAGACTTCTCCTGAGTCCAAGGCACATCTGTGTCCCAGGCACCTTCGGGGTCTAAATGCCTCACTGCAGAGATTCTAATTTGCCCTTGCTTACCCTCACCCTCAATCATGAGTCCTGGTCTTCATTTCTCTGTCCCCACTCTCACCGATCTGCCTTACATACTATGGCCAGGCTGGTATTTTTGCAGAATTCTGAGAAGGAAATGTCCTGTTCTTTAAAAAAAAAACTTGGCTGCAAACTACTTGGCCTGCCTTAGAACGCCACCCACCAGCCAGCCCAACCCACCTTACTTCCCCCAAACCCTTTATATACCTCATGCTTCACCTAAAGGAAGCACCGCTCCTGTGAGATCTAGGCTTTCCCATCTGTAATGCCTTTGCTCATGCTGTTCTGTTCTCACCCAGAGTTCTCTTCTTGTAAAATCCTACACATCCTTTCAAGTTCCCAAGAAATAGCCCTTCTACGTCACCTTCCCTGTTCCTTCCATCTCTCCGGCGCTCTCCCTTCTACTCATTTGCTGTGCTTCATCTGTGTCCACCAGATAGACTGTCAACCTCAGAGAGGAGTCTTCTCAGCTCTGAGCCTGGGCCCTCACCTTGCTCATTGCCTGGCAGGTACTGGCACCAGATGCGCACGGTACGGTCATCACTGCAAGATGCCAGACGCTGGCCGCTGGGGTCAAAGGCCAAGCTCCACACTGTGGATTCATGACCCTCAAGGGTGGCACAGCATACCCAGTCATCCTCTTCCTCTCGGTATAGCTTCACCGTGTCGTCATAGCTGGCAGAGGCTAATAGCTGGGGACAGGGGGAAAACACACCACTTATGGCCCAGGAAGTGCCTGTGGCTCCAATGCCTCTCCCTGCTAGGACAGGACAGTCCCAGGGAGCGTCTTTATAATGGGGACTAATGTCTTTTGGCCACAAGTAGTGATCTCTTTGAAAGCCAGCTGAGGCTGACAAGCCGAGGTGAGTTGGGCACAACCCCCACACCAGAATTCCTTCCCACTGAGATACTTTGCCAGACTCTTACCTCCTGGCTTGGGTGCCAGACCACATGCTTGACATCCTGCGTATGGGAATTGAGGACACTGACACATTCATACTCATCTTCTTCATCAACTGTGGGAAGAGAACAGAAAGGAGCCCACAAGCTGACCTCGTGAGGGTCATGTAGCAGATTCTCTGTCTGCTGGCTCCCAACTGCACCCAGAGGGACCGACACTCACCTTCCCAGACCCACACGCTCTTATCTCGGCTGCAGGTAGCAAGGAGGTTGCCAGATGGGGCCCAGGCTACTGACTTGACCTCATTTTCATGGCCTTCCAGAGTGGTCACACACTGTGAGAAGGGAAGAGGGACAAGAATCAGTGGCATTTAAGACACCTGGATAGATGGTTTGCCCAGGTTGGTTCAAGTTCCTGAACCAGTTCTGGGGAGCAAACTGCAACAATCCTGGTCCAAACCAGTCTGGTTACCTCAAAGTCATCCTGATTCTTCTTCCAAATACAAGTGGTAGCATCAAAACTGGCAGAGGCCAGGTAATGGCCGCAGGGAGACCAGGCCACCTTCCGCACAGTGCGCTGGTGGCCTTCAGAAAGGACAGATTTGCAGATCCAGTTGCCACCTAAAAGCAGAGGCCAGGCCAGGCACTGGGGCTGAGTGCACAAGACACGGAAACACTATCACTGCCATCTGACACTGGAGCCGAGCTCAACGGGCACATTTAACAACATGCTTTTAGGAAGAAGTAACTGACTTACTTCCTCAGGAGGCATCACCTCCTAATTTAAAATGGCCAAAGGCTGCCCAGTGATGGGCTCAGTGGCTCAGTGGTTGAGAGTCCACCTCTGAACCAGGAGGTCAGGGATCAATTCTATGGCTGGGGCACATGCCTGGATTGCAGGCTCGATCCCTAGTTTGGGGCGTGCAGAAAGCAGCTGATCAATAGTTCTCATCATTGGTGGTTCTATTTCTCTCTCCCATTCCCTTCGTCTCTGAAACCAATAAAACACACACACACACACACACACACACACACACAGTCAAAGGCTGTCCCCTCGCAAATTACCCTGCAGGCTACTTTCCACCGCCCTTTTCTAATCGGTTTCCTGCTCCAGCAACTATCACAATTTCCTCCTCAGTTCCAGGCTGTCTCCTGACGTTTTGGCTTCTAGTACTTGCCTGCAGTCTTTCTAGGAGTGACAAAGTTTATCTCGAGGTGGCTTCTCCCCCGCTTCTCCCTGGGCTCACCTTCAGCACAGCACCCGCACAGCACGCACGCGGAACGCCCGGCGGCGGGGTCGCGCGCCCAGGCCGAGCCTTACCCTCGGTGCCCCAAATGCGGACTTTACGGTCACCCCCGCACGAGGCTAGCAGGGTTCCCGTGGGGTTCCAGGCCAGGAACCAGCACCGCGAGTCGGGGTGCGCCGGGACACGGCCCAGCAGCACCAGCGAGTCCTTCATGGCGACCCCGACGCAGAACGTGGAGGGGTTGGGCGCGTGCCCGCGGCAGGCTCCTCCGTGCAGATCCCGGGACCCCAACTCAGCCTCCCAGGACGGCCGGTCACACCACTTCCGCCCGAGGATCCCGGTTGACCTGGGAACTGAAGTGCCCGCTAATGCGGCCGCGCTGCCCCCTGGGAGTTGTAGTCGCACTCCCGCCCCGGCATAAGACGTCGCGGACAGGCTTCGAACTACCAGTCCCGTGAGGCCGCAGGGAGGCTGTGGTGCGCCGGACTGTGACGCGAGCCGGGACAGGGCGGGGAGCCGGAGGAGGCGGAGGCCGAGGCAGAGGCGGAGGAAACGGAAGTGGGTCGGATCCGGGTTGGTCCGGGAGTAGTGGGTCTCTAGGGCCTGGGTCGCCTGGCCCGGGCAGCTGAGGGTCCCGTAACGGGACGAGCGGCGCCACCCTTGAGGCCTGCTGACTGGTGAGGAGCAGCGATCGGCGTGGGGTGGGTCTTTTCTGGGCAGCCCAGAGCGCCGTCCCCAGATCCCCGGGTCTCCGACCCCCGCGGCTCAGCCTGGTCCTCCCCCCTTGGCACCCTCCGGTCCGGTCTCTCCTCCCATCAGTAGACCATACCCTCGCCTTCCAGCCCAATCCTTTCCGGGTCCTTATTCCGCGCCTCCATTCCAGGCACCTAGTCACCGTCTCCGCCCCAGAACCCTGCAGCCCTCGGGTCTCCGCTCGGCCCCAGGTCCCACTCCTCTGGCCTCGGGTGACCGCCCTGGCAGCCCTGCGGTTCCTCACCTGCGTTCTCCCTGGAACAGGCAGACCCTGAGCCCCCCGGAAGTCGGCGGCGAGCAGCAGCGACCGCGGAACGACGGCGGGCGGCCCCGGGCATGTATGCCCCGGGAGGCGCAGGGCTGCCCGGCGGGCGCCGGCGGAGGAGCCCGGGAGGCAGTGCGCTGCCCAAGCAGCCGGAGCGTAGCCTGGCCTCGGCCCTGCCGGGCGCCTTGTCCATCACGGCGCTGTGCACTGCCCTCGCTGAGCCTGCCTGGTTGCACATCCATGGTGGCACCTGTTCCCGCCAGGAGCTGGGCGTCTCCGACGTCCTGGGCTATGTGCATCCGGACCTGCTGAAAGGTAAGGCCGCCGCGCCGGGGCCTCTTCTTCCCGGGCGACCCGGGGCTCCTCGGCGGGGAGCAGGATGGGGTGTGGCTGGAGAGCTGATTGCCAAGGCAGGACTTGGTTAAAGGAAACAGACCCTTTGCTGCCTGGTGGTCCGGCCCCTCGTGAATTAGATGTTATTCAGCCAAGCACCTGCTTTCCACTCCATGCTCAAAGTCTGCTGCTCTCAGGATTCTGCCCTTGGAAGGGCAGTATATGAAGAAAAGATAAGGATGCTGGGCATTAAAACTAGCTAAGGAATCTCTGGGATGCGGGGAGGTTTCTTTGGATCAGCTGATTAATGGAGAAAAAGAACTTTTAATATGCTTAGACTTTAAAATATGTTTTCAAATTACACAGTAGTTGGGTTTTTATTATAGAAAAAGGGAGTCTTGGCATTTTAGGTCACCAGGAGCCAGTTTCAGCCTCGGTAAAAGTTGGAACTTGGCTCTCAGAACCATACACCTGACGAGGTGAGGTTTCTTTGCTCGGCCAGGTGTGCAGAGGAAAGGGAAAAGAGACTAGGGACTGGTCTCCTTACTGGACACAAGGAGGCCGCTGCCTGGCGGGGTTGGCTGCTGTCCCAGCCGATAGTTGTTCCTGTCCAGCTCTGTCTCCAGCAGGGAGGGTACAGGCTGTGTAGTGTGAGGCAGGATTGCACTGCCTGGCTTTTACCGGAGAAACAGTCAGTGGACCCCACACTGCCCTTGGTACAGCACAGTTCATCGCCCCCACGGTCTTTTGAACCATTCTCTAAGGTCTTTCTGTTTTCTCCCTGTGCCACTCTCTGGCTGTGATGCGTTCCAGCTGTCTGCTATGCATGTCTCAGAGGCCCTTCCTGGAGATACCTTCATGTCATCCCTTTAAGGACTCAGACACTGGGGTTTGGTGAAAAAGTCAAGTTCTCTATGCCTTGGATCTTACACCACTTTTTGCAGGTCTCGGCTGAAAAGCTGTGCCGTTGTGACCTAATGTCTTTCTCTGAGAGTTCTCTGTTTTGTAACACACTTTCTCTCTCTCTCTCTCTTTGTGTCTCTCTCTCTCTCTCTCTCTCTCTCTCTCTCTCTCTCTCTCTCTCTCTCTCAGAGGTTTGAGGTTTTAGAATGATTTAGAGAACATGATGGGGCTTCTAGTTTCCAGGTTCTTTCCTGATGATAGTCTTCGCTGGGTTGGCTCATTAAGACAGAAGTTATACATATGATGGAGGCCTGTGACACACAGCTTTTTCTCTGGCGTGTAGCTGATGGAAGAAAGGCCATCAAGCTGGAGTTAAATCTGGATGGTTTTTCCCTCAGCACATTTCCCTCACTTGTCTTCTTTGAAGCTCAGCTGCCACCACTTCATCCAGACCTTTGCACCTGACCCCCTGGTGTTTCAGTGTTTTCAGAGCTTGGTGTCACCTACAGACTGGGAGACAGTTCCCAATGCTTCTCCCTTTCAGCTCATTCCCAGGGAAGCTCAGGAAGTTTGTGTGATGGGGAAAGGCAGTGTGATCGAGGTCTTCATTTCAGAGATCCAAGAAGCTGTGTCTCAGAGAAGTGAAGGCACATTTCCCAGGGCCACACAGCTGGGAGTTGCATAGCTGCGTCTAACTCATCTACTGACTCAGTATAAAGCGATACTGTCTCGTTTATCCTTTTTACCCTTTATTTCAGCTGTCAGGAATGATCTCAGGGTTATTGTGCTTTGGTGTACATCCTTGTCAAAACCATGTAAAAAGTAAAAATAAGTTCTTGGTGCGGGAATTGGCCTGCGGACAAATGGTCCCGGGTTTGATTCCAGTCAAGGACACATGCCCAGGTTTCGGGCTCGATCCCCAGTGGGGGTTGAGGGGAGGGCATGCAGGAGGCAACTGATCAATGATTCTCTCTTATCATTAATGTTCCTCTCTCTTCTCTGAAATCAATTTTTAAAAAAGCACATTGCCTTAACCTTTATGATTGCTCATGTGTTTAGGGATCTTAACCCACAGACAGTTTCGATGTGTGGTCATATCCTTGGCCATTGCAAGCTAGGAACACTTCCTAAGAGTGTTGATGGTTTCTTCTGATGGCTCTGCTTCTTCCCTTTCTCTGTAGTGGTTGGTTTTTGGTACTCAGTGGGCCTTTAAACATGCTGTCCTGTGTGATTACACTGAACCTCAGGACCTAACAGATGTCCTAGCAGGGAAGTCAAGTCTGGTGCCTGTAGATACTTCCAAAGGGAAAACAGACTGCCAAGTCTCTGCAGGTGACAGGGAGCCGGGCCAGCAGGCTTTAGAGATGTACCTTCCTGTTTCTCAGCCCCCTGAGCGCCAGGCATTGTGGTCAGCACACTTCATGCCTGCCTTTAGTTTATCCTAAACAGCACCTTCAGTCCTAACTGGTTTGGCTCAGTGGATAGAGCGTCGGCCTGCAGACTCAAGGGTCCCAGGTTCAATTCCGGTTCAGAGTCATGTACCTTGTTTGCGGGCACATCCTCAGTGAGAGGCGTGAAGGAGGCAGCTGATGGGTGTTTCCCTCTCATCGATGTTTCTAGCTCTCTATCCCTCTCCCTTCCACTCTGTGGAAAATTAATAAAATATATTAAAAAAAAAAAAAAAACACAAAACACCAAAAAACCCCAGCACCTTCATTTGGGACTGTCATCACCACTTCACTGAGGTCTTAGGCTCAGGGAGGTCAAGTGACATGCCCGAGGCCACATAGCTAATCTCCATGGCATGGCCTCCACTCTTACCTTGTATGTTAGTGCCCTCCAGCTGCTTTTCCTTTTGTCAAAGCTGTCCAAGGCTTTTTACTTCCCCATTCTAATTGAGTTTTTATCACAAGCCCAGCCCAAGCTGTGCTTTTTATCCCTCTTCATCTCTCCTGCTCAAGTTGAGACCAGGTCTGTCAGTCGCAGAGCCCTGGAGGCTTTAGCAAATGCAGGCTGCCTCAGACAATTCTGTCCTGAGTTTTCCTGCTTCCCAGGGGTGCCAGCTTCTCACAGTGTCTTCAGCCTGGGCTCAGGTCCAGAGATATGCTCAGACCTCTAGTGGCCCCAAGCAGGGGGGGCCCAGATAATCATTCCCTCTGCACACCAATTCCTCTGCCTCCCAAGTGTGGCAGCGGAGGGCAGCACTGACTGCAGCCCTGGGAAGCACCTTTGAAGAATGAGGAAGCCTGGGATTTGGAGTCTGGTGAGTCATGATTGCCACTGGAAGTTCAAGGGCCAACCAGAGGGCCTGTATGGCGGAGGGGTAGTGACTGATGCAATTGGCACTTCCAGGTCCTGCTGGGCCTGTCCTCGGGCAGCTTGGCTAGGACCATTGGTATCTCTGGTGATGGGCCAGCTAGGCCCTCTAGGGCCCTGTTGGAATCTTCTGTCGGAAGCCTGCCTGGAAGCTGGTCTCAGTGGGGAGAGGCTATGCAGGTGGGGTGGATGAGTACTGGGAAGGACGGGGCTGGGGCCAGGGTGATGGGGCAGTGTCTAACTCACAGGGACTCCTGTGAGGGGAAGTGAAGGGCAGTGGGACAGAAAAAGGGAACTGGCCAGAGGCCACTTGGGTCTGTTTGGGTTGGGAGGGGCTGGGAGCAGTGGGCAGGTAGACAGGAAGAGCCAGACCTTCAAAACAGATCCTGCCCCATGACTCACCAGTGAGTGACCTTGAGCCAAAGTCAGTGCTTTGGGATCCTATTACACAGCAGCTTCCTCTTCTCTGGTGACTGGAGGGGGCTGTGGAGCCATAGTTACCAAAATAAACAGGCCTCAACGCCACTGGAAGTTAGGATGCCTTCTGTCTGACCAGAGTGTGGTGAGCTGCACCACTGGTTTGAATTTAAAATGAGGACCTTGCCCCAAGAGTCCTTTTTCCTCAGAAATAAAGTAATGCCTGCACACATCTGGGAGTTCTGTTTCCCTTAGCAGCCGCCTCAAGGGAGCAGATACTTGTGGTCCTCCCCTCCACTCTGACGTCTGGCAGGGAAGGAGAGAGGACTGAGATCCTGACCCAGGGAGCCGGAGTTTGGTCTGAGGGGCCAGGGGTGCTTTGCCTGTCTTCTCTGTGCACTGAGAGTCCGGCTAGGCCGGCGCAGGTCCTGGGCTATCTGTTAGCATCTCTTCAAGGGACCTTCACATTTGGCTTTCCACTAAGCCGAGGGTTTGCTCACAGCTTTGGAGTGGGGAAAGGCAGCCACATAGAAACTAAACCTGTTTGAATTTGGGCCAAAAGCCGTACTCCTCGTTCTGGCCGGACACACCCTTAGTCTGGCTTTGGCAGGCGCTTTCTCTGGCCCACACGGACTGTGCGCAGGAAGGCACGCCAGGGCTGACATGCTGTGGCCCCGGGAGGGCGTGGGCAGCTACCACGCAGGCTGCTGGGCACTCCCTCTCAGTGCGCCCCTGGAGATGGGGCAGGCAGTACTGCCTTCGTGACAGTGAGAGAGCAGAGACCAGGGCAGTAAGTGTCTTGCTCACAGTAACACATAGTCTATGCAGGTTCGGATTTGGTGCCTAGTCCAGCGCCTTTCTGATTTCCCTACTGCTTCTGATGGCTGCAGAAGCTTACACCATACCAACCAGCTTCTGCCTAATAATTCCCGGTATGAGCACTTCTCTTTGTTCAATGCCCCGCACATGTTTTGCCTGGAAGGGATTTTGTGCTCTCAGCTGTGCTGCATTCAGCATCAACTGGCTCCGAGGGTGGCTCTGAGAGCATTTATACTAACCACTCACATGCACCATCTAGCATTTGATGCATTGTCTCCATGGGTGATTCTGGCATCACAAGGTTGGGAGCCTGTCCTGGGTTGGGAGCCAGGCCTGCGTTGTGGAACCTGAAGGAAGTCACTTAACATCCTGGAACCTCCAGTCCCTCATCTGAGCTGCATGGTGGATCCCCAGTGTGAGGCCTAACTAAGATAATGTTTGACCTGTCAGAGATAATGTTTGACCTGTCAGTGCGCGCAGGCTATTCCTGGAGGGGACAGAAGAAACTGCCAATAATGTTTGTCTCTCGGAGGGGCAGTTTGACATGTGGAAAGAAGGGATGTTCCCTCTGAAGCTTTATATCACATGAGACTCTTCTTTATTATCAAAACTAGAGGCCTAGGGCATGAAATTTGTGCATGGGTACAGCCCTACTACTGACCTGCAATCAGGGCCATCTTCCCCGGCCGCCAGCAGCCGGCCCCACCCCCGCCTCACCATCCACCCCTGGTTCCCAGTTTGCCATCTTGCACCACAGGTGGGCCTGGCCCAGGATATACTTCCGAGCCTGTGTAGGAGGCTGTGGCACCCATCCCTCCCCCTCCCCCTCTGGAGGCCTGTTCACAAGAGGTGTTTTTTTGTGAATTTCTTTCAGATAAGGGATAGGGTGAGGGCTCAGTGCCAAGAGAGTTCCAGGGCTGGTGGTGCTATCAGGGTCACGCCTAAACATTCACTGTGTTTGTTCGCTGGAGGATTCTACTTGTAGGGTCCTGGGACACGACAACCCATCCCACAAAAAGGTCCCATTGGATTGCAGGTTGCATCAGCACTGAGGAGGGGTAAGATCAGGTGCTTTAAGCAGAGAAAATGGAATTCCGAACAGGGTTAGAATTCAGAAGCATCTGGAGCCAGGTTTCTCAACAACCCACCTACCCACCCCTGCCCTGCTGCCTTGCTGACGGCTTCTCCTCCCCCTCAGGGAGCAGGTGGGGAGGAGGGAGGAGCAACTGTCTGCAGCTGCGCAGGCCTGCGTCTTGGCTGTGGGAAAGAATGCCAGCTTTTGCGGGGAGGGACCGAGGGGTTGGCTGTTCCCCCTGCTGGCTGGCCCCGCCCCCCACATCCACCACCACCCACCGCTGATTCCCTGTTCCCCATCAGACAATCAGCCTGTTGGCCAGCTGGGGGAAGGGACCTAGAGGTTGGCCCTGATGGGGTGATCAATCCGGGCCTGGGGCTGGGGGTAGCTCCTGCGTTGAGCGTCTGCCCCCTGGTGGTAAGTGCACGGCATAGTGACTAGTCATTCTGCCTTTCGGTTGATTTGCATAATACCCTTTTATTATTTTACTAGAGGCCCAATGCACGAAATTTGGGCAAGAGTAGACCTTCCTTCCCCCAGCTGCCGGCACTGGCTTCTGGTACCCAGGACCCTGCTCCCCTCCAGCCACCAGCAGACACCCAGGGCCCAGGCTTCCCTCGCAGCCCTGGCTTCGTCCGGAAGGATGTCATATCTAATTATCATATTATGCTTTTATTATTATAGACTATATAGGAAAAGTATATTATGGTACACGAGACACATAGGATAATAGAAGTACATTTTTAAGGATGATAATAAAATGGACATCCTGTACTCATTATGCAGTGTAAGAAAGTAGCTTTGAAGCCACCGAGTGTTACTTTTTTGCAGTTAAAACTAGTTGTTAAATTAAAACTTAGTATATTTTTTAAAAAATATATTTTTATTGATTCTCAGAGAGAGATATTGATGAGAGGGGCTACCTCCTGCAGGCCCTCTGCTGGGGATCAAGCCCAGTGACCTCTTGGTGCCTGGGTAAGTGCTCAGCCACTGGGCCACACTGGCTGGTCAAAACTTAGTGGATTTTTAAGAACCGCAATTAAAGCCCATGTGCCTGGGCGTATTTGTGGATGGATCACGAGAATTCTTGTGTTTGCTGTTCTAAGGCTTGTGGCCAGTCATGACAATTCTTCAAAAAGATATTAGCTTGGAAGAACATGTAATAAATAACTTCAAAATGCAATGGGAATTTAATTTTAAGGCGTGCCTTTAACATTTATGTACAGTGTTTTTTGTACTCGTTCATTAGAAACTTATCTGGCCACTGGGTAAAGCTAGCAGTAAAACTACTGGTCCGCCTGCTGCAGAGTGGAGTGTGCTGCAAGCCCTCGCACCCTGCTGCTCTGGTTATTCTTGGAAGCACTAGAAGAAAGAACACTTTCATCCTGCCCCATCCCTGCTCATGCACGCGGACCAAGAAGAACTGTCTCAGAGAGCTTTAACAATATTCAAAGGAAAGCCAGGATCCAGTCCCTCTTCCTTTAGCGAAACCTCCTGCAGGCCCACAGCAGCCTCAGGCTGGAGGGCTGGAGGAAACGGAGCCTGGGCCTGGTCACTGGCAGAACCACACAGACAAGCCTCCTGGTAGTAAGTGAACACCAGGTTGGATGATTGCGCCCAAAACAGATGGTCAGCTGACAGCTGACAAGAGGGTGACAGATAGCTCTGAGGGCAGCTTAGTGGATGACCTAAAGCTAGATCGCGGCATGAGTCTGGAATGGGCTCAGCCACCATCTGCCTGGTGAATTCTGAGCCTGAGGCAGGGAGTGCGTGCTGACACACAGTCACAAAGGCCCCGGGTCTCCTGGTATCTGCTTGGTTCTGTGGTCCGGATGCCGGGCCCTCTGCCAAGCACCCATGATGCCACTGACTTGGTTTGAGTTTGCTTTGTTGGGTTTAGGTCTACATCCCAAGTTCTTGGCCTTTTCCTCTCAGTCCCCTGTCCTCCAGGCCTAGGATATGTGTTTCTTGGAGTGTAAAGCTTGGGCCACCTTGCATGGGAATCACCTGGGCTGCCTATTAAAAGCCAGATTCCTAGGCCCTGATCCAGACTGAGAGCTTCGAGCTTCTGGGGCTGGGCGGGTGCTTTCAGCCGGCACCCCAGGGACTGCCATGACCACCATCTCCGCCTCAGCCTGTGGTCAGGACTCGGGAGAGCAGCCTGTAGTCTAAGCCAGAGCTCCAGATTTTCCTATCACGTGATGACCCATGACCTAAGTGAAAGAAGAGCCCGCCGGTGGCCAGAACAGAGGAGAGGGGGAAGGCACGTTTCCTACTTTGGAAGTTTAAAACAGCTTCCTTTCAGATCAGCCCTTTTTCTGTCTGTTTCTAGGAGCTGTGGCATTTTGCACAGATGTCACAGGGTCTGACTCTGTTTCGGTGGAATTTAAAAGGATGAGAATGGTATGATGCCCTGGAGGGCGTCTCGGGGGCTGTGTGTGTGGTGTGCAGTTGTTGGCTTCTCCCTTCACCGCGATCCTGGGCGACTCTGAATGTGGGGTCTCCTTTTCCAGCAGCTTCCTTGGCTTGGTTCGCTCCCTCGCTTTGGGGGAGTGTGCACCCTGACTGGCTTTGCACTCGTTTTAGGAGGCGTTTGGTACTCAGTGTCTGAGCTCCGTAGGCTTTCGTGGTATAAATCTAGTTGCATCTTAGCTTTCCCACTTCTGGCTGACACTTCAGCTTACTCAGTCTGCTAAGGCACTTCTAAGCCCCCTTATGTTCCAGTTTCCAGAATTCTGTTTTGCTCCTCTCCCTGTGCTGTAGGTTTATGTCTTTAAAACATTTTGGTTTCTTTTGTTTTAGAATATGGAGTGAACAAAAATAAATGTGAAGGTCCAGCCTACCACCTTTCCTAACTTATTTAGTACACTCTTGTAAGGATATATTTTCTAAATGGCTTCAGATTCTTTTTGAACTCAAACGGGGATGAATGAGTGGCTGAATGGAGAATGGAATTGATGGGCCTCTGGCCTGGCCTCTGGCCATCTCAGCGCAGCAGTCCGTGGGCTGCTGCTCACTGATTGTCAGTGTCTTTAAAAATGCTCAGAAGATCATGGCCAGTACAGCAAAGTAGAGGCCTTCACTTAGACTAGGTTTTTGTTTTGTTTTTAATTAAAAAAATTTTTTTTATTGATTTCAAAGAGGAAAGGAGAGTGAGATAGAAATATTAATGATGAATGAGCCAGCAACCCAGGCATGTGCCCTAGCCAGGAATTGAACCGTGACCTGGTTCATAGGTCGATGCACAACCACTAGAGCTAGACTGGCTTTTTGGGAGGGAAGGAGTTGAGTGCATGGAAGCAGTGGCCGGGTTCCTCTCTGCCAGTTCGGTTGTTGGTCCACCTCTGTGGGCCAGCTGGGAGCAAGAGTTCTGAGCAATTTTTCTAGGACTCCCTGGCACTCCAGGACTGTGGCTGAGGGGGACAAACCCCTCCCAGGTGGGGACTCCAGGGTGCAGCTTGGGGTCCTGAAGGTCTGGTTTCCCCACTACAGACTTCTGCATGAATCCCCAGACGGTGCTGCTCCTGCGGGTCATTGCCGCCTTCTGCTTCCTGGGCATCCTGTGCAGCCTCTCCGCATTCCTCCTCGATGTCTTTGGGCCCAAGCATCCGGCCCTGAAGATCACGCGTCGCTATGCCTTCGCCCACATCCTTACAGGTAAGTCCAGGACTGCTCCCGGGGGGAGGAACTGCCACAGGAGGGGGCACCGTCTGGGCTTGTGGTGAGGATGATGGGCTTTCTCTGAGCAGGCATCGGTCCAGATGCTCATTTCACCTCTAGCCTTTCCTGGAGCACTGGGCGTGATAGCAGCTTGCTTTAATTCCCCCAGAAATCTCCAAGCTCTCCAGGAACTGGGTGTGAAGCTCAGCTGGACTCCTGGGCCTGGAATGAGCAGAGTGTCTCACTGTGTCTCCCCTGGAGTTCCCGGTCTCATCGGACTCTTTCCTCCCCTTTTGCTTCCCCACAGACTGGGCTGGGAGTTAATTTGATGTGTGGTGTCTGTGTCTTTCGAGCACTCTGACTTCTAGCAGCCCTCAGGTTCCATCTCCAGATTCTTAAGATGGAGAGACCTGACTGGGCCAGACTGGTCGTGCATCTGTCCCAGTCTCCGCCCAAGAGCCCCGTGGCCCAGAGAGCTCCCCCTTGCAGGATCCAGGGCCACGCAGGTTTGGGTGGAGAGGCTGCAGTTGGTTCCTTAATCATCCAGCTGTAGGATGCCTCTAACCCCTTTCTGTGCTGTCCCTCTGTCCCCCAGTCCTGCAGTGTGCTACCGTCATCGGCTTTTCCTACTGGGCTTCCGAGCTCATCCTGGCCCAGCAGCAGCAGCATAAGAAGTACCATGGTTCCCAGGTGTATGTCACCTTTGCTGTTAGTTTCTACCTGGTGGCAGGAGCCGGCGGAGCCTCAATCCTGGCCACGGCAGCCAACCTCCTGCGCCACTACCCGACAGAGGAGGAGGAGCAGGCGCTGGAGCTGCTGTCTGAGATGGAGGAGACCGAGCCCTACCCCTCGGAATATGAGGTCATCAACCAATTCCAGCCGCCCCCGGCCTACACACCCTAATGCCAGCCTAGGCCTTCCTCCCACAGAGGAGTGCCTTCCCCCAGCAGGCCTCACTGGTAGGATCCTGAGCATCTTCACCAAACCTGCCCCAGGAGAGAGACTGCCCTTTGGGCTGTTCATGTATCCTTGCTCTTGAAACCTGGGGCTCATGGATTTTATATCATGCACTGTTTCCCCTCTTGCCACCTTCCTGTCCCTGAGGTCACTAGTCATTACCAACCAGGGATGGTCACACAATTTCTCCCTTCATGGGCCATCTTTCACACCAGAACTTTCTTCCCGTGGGGAGCTACTGACAGAGGACTGTCTCAGAAAGAGGTGTCATCAGGGCCCAAGAGAAAGGGGACTGTGCCCTGCAGGCTTCCCTCATGTGGTCATCGCCTGTTCCACGGGCTGGCCTGCCCCTTCCTTCTCGGAGTGCCCAGTGGCAGGCCCCGCTCTGGAGATCTCTGCACTTTAGTCTTTGGACTTCCCGTCCTCTGTGTTCTGGTTGACGGGAGACGGAATTGCTTTTGGGAAGCAGATCAAGTCTTGTCCCCGCCCTGGCCTGGCTTCGGTGGCCGGAGCCCAGGAAAGGAGAGCAGTGGGAATGGGCCTGAGGTCTCCCGGTTCCCAGAGAGGATCAGACTGAAGGGGCCCCTTCACCTTTCAAAATTGAGTGGTTTTAAAAGGAAAAAACAAAACCAAGCAACAGCAACAATCACCTGTTTTTAAACTAGCGACAAGACTTGTCATTTTATCGATGTTTATCCCATCCTTTTGGGCTCTGCACTGTTTTGAGCCACAGCTCCTTACAGCCCACAGTAGTTTCTCCCTGAACTTCTTCCGGCAGAATGCACCCCTCCTCCCTGCCCCCTCTCCCAGGGCCTTCCTGTGGAACCCAGAGCCCCTCAGCAGAGGCTGAGGACTAGGCCTGGCTGGCTGGCCAGCGTGGTGCTCCTCAGGGCTGGACTGAGATGTAGCCTGGCCTCCGTGCAGGAACAGCGGTCACGGGGGCACCCTCCACATAGGAATCACAACCAGGGGCCCTTTGCAAGAGGACGGCAGAGCTGGCTGTGTCCCTCAGGCTGAGTGCCTCCCCTAAACTGTGACGTGGGGCAACAGCTTGCTGCATGCCCCTCCCCTCCTTGAATGTTCTCTGGCCTCGCATTGTGCTACTTGCTGGCTCTTTCTTGCCCAGCCATCATTCTGGGTTTCCCGTTGGCCACATATGGCTCTGGGTCTGGCTGAATTTTCTGCCCTGAGGTCAGTGTAAAAGTGGGAGAAACTCAAGAAACCATCAGTATGCATCCAGATGGCCAAGCGTCTTTGGGATCAGTGTTCATTGCGGACCTGAAAAGCATTTGGGTCCCAATCTCCTGCAGATGACCAAGCACGACCAGAGAGTGGGCACTGCTATTGAACGGTGGCTAGGAAGGAACGTTACGTGCCTCATCCTTGGGCCAGACCACGTGGGGATGTCTGGACACACGTCTGTGTGGGTGGTGAAGCCCATGTCTGCACATGAATGGTGGCTGCCTGGAGTTCACTGTGATGCCAAAGTGTGTCCCATTGTGACCGTCGGGCAGGAAAGACCACCGTGTGGGACCTGCGCACAAAGCCAGGGAGCTGCCTTGCTTGTCTTTCTATCAAGTCCGAGTTTGTCCGGCAGATAGCTAGGGTGTGGCCAGCTCTCGCTGACCTTGGGTGCTTGGGTGTCTGAGGGGCAGATCAGGAGACCGGGCACCAGACACACATGCCAAAATGACCGTCATCTCGCGAGGCCTCAGACATGACCCTGTGGACTGTTCCATGTAATCCAGATCCCACCTTTTGTTAACTGTCCACACCACCGGCCTTTCTCTTCCCCTGCTGTCCTGACACTGTCATAGAAATCCCCCTGGTTGTGTTTTTTCTTTTTTTCTAGGAAAAACAAATAAAAACAAAACAAATGAACAGAAACCACAAGTAAGAATGTAAACGCCAGTGGCTCCCTGTCGTTTTTCTGTCACAACTTGCCTGAGTTGGTTTGCTCCCATCCTCTGGGAGAAGCAGGGGAAAGTGATGAAGTGTAATTTAAAACGTCAGAGGGCCAGGCCGGTGTGTCTCCGTGACTGCATCGACCTATGAACCAGGAGGTCCTGGTTCGATTCCTGGTCAGGGCATGTGCCTGGGTTGAGGGCTCAATTCCCCATTAAGAGAAATGATGATTCTTATCAGCCGATCAATGATTCTTATGTTTCTCTCTCCCTGGCCCTTCCTCTCTGAAATTAATAAAAATACATCTATACAAAAAACATCAGGGAGTGCATGTGCCTACTCTGGGCAAGGCACTTCCATTTAGAAGCTCATCTAACAGACCCTCCCATCGCCAGGCGCCATGGAGCCCGAGTGGGTGAGCAGAGAATGATTCTTGTCCTGTTTGGGGAGAAATAGACTCAGGGCAAAGGGACTGCACCTTCTTTTGAAACCATAGGGAGTGGTTACTTCCTTGCTGGGAGAGGCATGTGAGTGCCGGTGGTCCGGGAGTGACCTGCAGGAGAGCCTCCAGTGTCGGTCCTTACAGGGCTACCCACATCCCATTCCTCCATTTCTGCACTCAGCTGGCATGCTGGCCCCCAGATGTGCATCACAGTAAAAGACCCTTTGAGGAACAGCCTGTTTTGGTGGTTTTAAACAGTTTTATTTTCATTCCTGGGAAGAACACACATCTTTCTCGGGGACTAGGAATGTCCTCTCCCATTTAATTTCAGGGATTCATCAATGATTGTTGATTGTTGCTTCAACTTGTGTTTGTCCAAAGCATGTGAGATGCCATGAGGGAAACGCCATGATCCTTGGGACCCTGTCTCCAAGGGCTTTATAGTCTCAGTTCTGGAGATGGACTTGTCCGCGGAAAGGCAGTGAGTGGTCCAGTGGACAGCTGGGAAAGGGACTGGCCCGAGGCTCCGACCTGAGTACAGAGGTTTCCTGATGACAGCTGGAGCCAGGTTCAATGTGAGTATTCAGAGGTGGGGTGAGGCAATTCCTGAGGAGGGGCTAGCAAGAGTGAGGCACAACTGGAGATCCAAGATGGCTGCGCCCAGGTGAACACCTAGCCGCAGCCGCACACAACAATTTCAATAAATTACAACTAAAATATAAAACGGACATTGCCCAGAACTACAGGAAGGTTGACTGACTGGAAATTCTACAGCGAGAAGCAAGGAGAAAACCAGAAGGAGGCGCGGAGGAGCTTGAAAAGCCCAAGGTACGGAGACACGCGGCGCGCGGAGAGGACGGAGCCGGAGAGGAGGGAGGCCGAGTGCCTGGCGGGCGTTCCCTAGCGGAAAGGAGATAAAACTCCGACTGTGCTGGGCCCCTGACTGCTCTGAACCCCAGTTCCAGGCCAGACCACGGGGACTCAGGCTCAGCCATAGGGAGCCGGGCTGTAAGGCGGAACCCCGGGGAGAGGCGAAAGGAGGTCCCGGAGGCGCGCACACTGCGCGCAGAGAAGGGACAGTCGGCTGTGCCGCGGGATTGCCCTGACGGGAAGGAGACTGGGGCTCCAGACTGCTCTGAACGCCACCTCCAACTCCACTTCCAATTGAACTGAACCCCAATACCGGGCTCATTGTGGGAGAGCATAGACTGTTTGGCAGCAGGCGAAAATCAAGGGCACCTTTCTCTCAGAGGCGCCGGCAGCGACCACTGAAGGACCTGCATAGGGCGGGGCTGACGGAAGCCAAAGCTGCAGGCTCCACCCTGAAATCCCGTCCCATCTGTAACTGCGAAATGCGACAACAAAATAGATCACAAACAAAAGAAATGGAGGACAAAAAGCGTCTGGATATAGAGTTCAAATCTACGCTTATAAGGTTTTTCAAGAATTTCCTAGAAAAGATGGACAAGGCCTATGAGGATATGAAAAGAGATCAACTAGAATTAATAAGGAGTCAACAAGAAATGATAAGGGATCAACAAGAAATAAAGAATACATTGTCTGAAATAAAAAATATTTTACAGAGTCCTAAAAACAGAAGGGAAGATCGCAAGAATCAAGTCAAAGATTTGGAACATATAGAGCCAGAAGACAGTCCTCCACAGAAGCTAGAAGGCAAGAGAATCCAGAAAATTGAAGATAATGTAAGAAACCTCTGGGACAACTTCAAGCGAACCAACATCAGAATTATGGGGGTCCCAGAAGATGAGAGAGAGCAAGATATCGAAAACATACTGAAAGAAATAGTGACAGAAAACTTCCCCCACCTGGTGAAAGAATTAGACTTGCAAGTCCAGGAAGCACACAGAACTCCAAACAAAAGGAATCCAAAGAGGACCACACCGAGACACATCATTATTAAAATTCCAAGAGCAAAAGACAAAGAGAGAATATTAAAAGAAGCAAGAGCAAAGAAGGTAGTAACCTACAAAGGAGCACCTATACGATTGTCAGCTGACTTCTCAACAGAAACCATGCAGGCCAGAAGGGAATGGCAAGAAATATTCGGGGTGATGAATAGCAAAAACCTACAGCCAAAAATAATCTACCCAGCAAAGCTATCACTCAGGATCGAAGGCCAGATAAAGAGCTTCACTAATAAAAAAAAGCTAAAGGAGTTCATCACCGCCAAACCAGAATTATATGAATTGCTGAAGGGGGTTCTTTCAGAAGAGAAAGTAAACAAAGATAAAAATTATGAACAACAAATATGTAACTATCAACAAGTGAATCTAAAAACCAAGGAAATTTAAAAAATCTGATGAACAATATTAACTGTTGAATATAATAGAATCAGAGGTATGGAAGGGGAGTGAACTGTTTGTTCTTGGGGAAAAGGGGAGAGGGGGGCGTGGGAAGAGACTGAACATAAACTGTGCACCTATGGATGAGGACAATGGGGAGAGGGAAAAGGGCAGAGGGTGGGGTGGGAACCTGGTGGAGGAGAGCAATGGTGGGGGGGGGGGGGGAGGAACATTTGTAATAATATAAACAATAAAAACTAAAAAAAAAAAAAAAAAAAAAAAAAAAAAGAGTGAGGCACAACTGGTGGCCAAGGCGTGGCAAGAGTAGAGGTTAGCAAGGTGAGGGCGTCCATTGACGGCACTAAGAGCAGTGGGGAGCCCTGGAAGGGTTGGTTCTGAGAAAAAAAAGAAAAAAAAAGGAGGACCAGGTTTTCCTTTTTTGTTAATCCTCACCTGAGGATATTTTTTTTCCATTGATTTTTTAGAGAAGGGAGGGAAGGAGAGAGAGAAAAAAATATCAACGTGAGAGAGACACATTGATTGTGTCCAACTAGGGCTCAGGATCGAACCTGCAACCCACGTACATGTCCTTGACCAGAAATCAAACCTATGACTGATGCTCCAGCCACTGAACCACACTGGCCAGGTCAAGAAAGGGTGAGATTTTTATTTTCATTTGTTTTTTATTTTATTTTTTTAAAAAATATATTTTATTGATTTCTTACAGAGGAAGAGAGAGGGACAGAGTTAGAAACATCGATGAGAGAGAATCATCGACCAGCTGCCTCTTGCACACCCCCCACTTTGGATGTGCCCGCAACCAAGGTACATGCCCTTGTCCAGAATTGAACCCGGGACCATTCAGTCCGCAGGCCGACGCTCTATCCACTAAGCCAAACCGGTTTCTGCTTTATTTTTATTTTTAAATCAGGTTTTTCTTAGTGACTGGTGACAGGGTGAGGAGGGAGCCTTGCGTCAGTGAAGAGTCGGCCTGGGAAGGGAGGCATGGATGGGAATGGTGTGGAGTCCTGGAACCTGGCCAAAGGGGGGAGGAGAGCAGTCAGAGTTGGCCCCAGTCTGTTGGCTCAGCAGGTGTTGGGAGTGGGGAACCAGGAGCCCCAGTCCCTGCCGACTTGTCAGGAGCTGGAATCTGGAGGCAGTGCCGCAGGCTGAGAAGGCTCAGTGAGAAGAGGCAGGATGTGAAGGGCAGCAGGAACGTGGAGGCCCTGAGCCCAGCTGTGTCAGAGTGTGGCCATGGAGGAACTTTCAGAGGGACTTCTGCGCCATCTGGCTGAAGGGCTGCAGGGCTCTATGAGGAGGGGCCCGGAGGGACAGGGCGCAGGCAGCCCTTTCGGAAGCTCCCTGTCCTGGCTGCAGCGAGACCGTGGCCAGCCCTGTGAAGGAGCGCTTCTGACGCTGGGGCCCCCCGGCCAGTCCCTGCCCCCCTCGGTTTGACCTTACTCTCGGGGTTCTCACCTAGATTTCTAGGCCACTGCTGTTGGAGAGTTTCCTTCTGGAATGACCTGGGTGGGGAGTGTCTTTGTTTTAACAAGGGGAGCATGTTCCATATTCTTTCTCCCTTTCCCCCCTGTGTTCAATAGGAGTGGTGACGGAAATTTGCACATGTGTGCACTCACACTCACACACCATTTCTGTCACCTGTCTTCCATGCTTTCTTTTGCAACGCTTACCTTTCAAAAGGAGGAAGCTATTAGCACACATGCCTTGCCCTTTAGGGACTTCCAGTCTGGCTGTCAGGGGAGGAAACCTGATGAGGCAAAAACTTGGCACCTGGCACTTGATGCCCCTTGAGATGATGGTCTAGGGCGGCTTCACGAAGGAGGGGAGATGGCATGCCGGCCTGGAAGAATGGGGAGCCTTTCACGAGAGAAGGATGTAATCAGTGTGTGAAGGCAGGCAGAAAGGGACAGGCGTGGGAACCGCTGAGCTGGTGTTTGAGCAGTGGTGACATGGATGGGCCCAGCCTGTCAGGGCCTGGAACACCAAGGTTATTGTCAGAACGCGTATAGTTGTAAGATACAGAACTCAGCACAGAAATACCTTAGTTAAGTGGCACTTATTGGTGCCCATAGCTGAAAAGGCGGGATCCAGGCACTCAATGACCTGAAGACGTGATTTCTCTCTGCTCGGCTCGTGGGCTCAGGACTCTCCCCAAGGCGGAGGAGATGGTCACCAGCAGTCCCAGGCTCACACGAAGCTCTTGCTTAAGGGCTGGATGAGTGTCTTTCTCCCAACTTAGGTCAGGCCCCTTTCCCTGGCCAGTGGCCAAGGACTTGGAGCTTCGCCATGTGGCCTGGATGAGGATGTTACATTGCCGTATTGGATTCAGAGATGGTGCTGCTAATGGCAGTTAGTATGCCTGAGCCCAAGAGTGAAGCTGCTCCTGTTAGAGATCCTGGCTGGCAGAGCCTGTCAAACTGGTGAGCCACCTCTAGTCTCGTCCTCTCTCCTTACTGTGACGATGGGGCTTGTGAGAACTGGCCGGCTCTGCTTTCTTGTAGAAGTTCTGTGTGTTCCATCTTTGACCAGGCTGGGCCTTAAAGTCAGGTTTTCCCACTGCCAGCAGGCAACCTGGGCCTTGATTACACCTGCCCTGGGCTCAGGATTATACCTTTTCCTTCCTTTGCCCCTTTCTTCCTGCCCCGTTCCAGTCAGAGAGAAAGGAGACTATTACTTATGACATAGCAACGAAGTATCACCATTTTTGTGCCAGATCTCTGAGTCCTCCTTCCCACAGGGTGATTGTGAAGATGGCCAGGTGACGTTTGCATGCACACTGAGTGGTATCACGGAAAAAGAACAGTGAGCTTAGAAAACACATGTTTTTTAAAAACATTTTTATTGATTTCAGAGAGGGAGAGAAATAGAAACATCAATGATGAGAGCAAATTATTGATTGGTTGCCTCCTGCACCCCCCCATTGGAGACTGAGCCTGCAACCTGGGAATATGCCCTGACCAGGAATGGAACCGGTGACCTGGTCCATGGTTCAGCACTCCACCACTGAGCCTCTCTGGATGGCCAAAAACCCACATCTTTTAATAATGGGCAGTAGAACATCTTCTCTTGGCTCACAGGGAGACCATCTCCATCTCCTAGGGCTGAAAGCAACCTGCCCTCTGGTCCAGAGGCTGACCCGCTCTTCCAAAACTGTTCCCTACACACAAAGGAACAGGGGCACACAGTGCCCCGTGCGAGACAAGCAGAACCACGAGGGACCCCAGAGAACTCTCCCATCAAGGCAGCATGGGAATTGGTTTTATGAACGAGCACTCTCCCCAATAGAAAGTTTCTTCTATACAAGCCAACTAGACGCCACCTGATTTCATAAAGGACATGGGGTGGTCATTCCTTGCTGTGGAACAATATCACCACAGCCTAGTGACACCGCGCATTCCTAAGTGGCGGCTTCTGTGGTTGGGAGCAGGGCATGGTGTAAGCGGTCCCTCTGATTCGGGTCTCATGAGACCAGGGATTTGGCTGGGACTGTGGTCTCCCCTGAGTGTCTGGGAGCAAAGGAGATGCTTCCGGTCTCACCCCGGTTGTGGGCAGAATTTGTTTTCCTGCAGGTGTGGGGCTGAGGGGTTGGTTTCTTGTGTCTGTGGCTGCAGAAGTCCTCAGCTCTGAGTGGCCACAGGGAGCTTCAGGGGCAACCCCAGCCCAGCCACTTGCTGCTGCAGCCCCCAGAGCAGAGGGCCAGCAACTCCACAGAATGGGCCCTGTGGTCTGTGTGAGGGACCCTTCAATGTGTGGGGGCCACCATGGTGGACATGCGCTCTCCTGCTGTCTTCAGATGTGTTCCTGACAGGGGATGGGGGGTGCAGTGGGAGCTTGATGGGATCAAGATAAGCCAGGTGTGTGCCAGGGTGTCCTACCAGGAGCCACCATTTGGGGTTGAGTGAGTGAGTGTGTGTGTGTGTGTGTGTGTGTATGTGTGTATGTGTGGAGGGTGTGGGCACTAGGTGCCCATGGACTAAGAAACTTGAGAGAAGTGGCTGCTGAATTGTGCTTTGGATGATCTGTGATTGTGAGTCAGGATAGTTAGATGTTAGGAGAATTTTTTGACAAGTGGGAAAAAGGAAACAGACAGATGGGGTCAATGTGAGCAATTTACAGCCTGCTAATAAACTGCAAAGTCTTATCTTCCCTAACCAAGGACACTTGAGAGCAAATGGTTTACAATTCTTCCTAAAGTAAATAGCTTAAATCACCCTGGACAGGGAGATAACAGAGACCTAGTTGGTGTCATTAATGCCAGCCAAACCCCAGCACAAATGAAATCAGGGGAACAAATAAGAAAAAACAAAAACAAAAAAACAAACAAACAAACTAATTAGAACCAAGCAAATCCAAGATAGAGGTAAAATTCACCAGAAAATAACCCTGGTCCCTCTGTTTGCTCAGCTTGACACATAAGCATATTAAAGACCACACCTGGAAAGCTGAGGAATATATTGCTGAGGCCCTCCCCTAGGATTCCTGCCTTTAAAAAACAAATGAGGACCCTCAAAGCAAAGGACCCCGCTGTGCTCTCCCTGCACTACGCCCATACCCCTTCTTTTCTGGGGCATGTACTTTCGCTCTCTCCTAAACTCTGAAGGTCCCCACTGGACTTGCAACCAGGGGAGCAGTGGGTAACTACAGCTTCCGGGCTAACACAGGGAACTGCCTCCAAGCCCCCCACACCTTCTCTTACTTTTTAGTGAGTTAACAGCAGCCTCACCTTGGCTCACTTCCGTCATTGTGACTCTTCTCAGAGAGTCCTCGAAACCCAGTGTGGCTCACTTCTTTTTTTTTTTTCTTAAAAAAAAAAATATTTTAGCCGAAGCCAGTTTGGCTCAATGGTAGAGCGTCGGTCTGCGGACTGAAAGGTCCCGGGTTCGATTCTGGTCAGGGGCATGTACGTTGGCTGCGGGCACATCCCCGGTGGGGGATGTGCAGGAGGCGGCTGGTCGATGTTTCTCTCTCATCGACGTTTCTGGCTCTCTGTCTCTCTTCCTTCCTCTCTGTGAAAAATCAATAAAATATATATTTTTTAAAATATATATTTTATTGATTTTTCACAGAGAGGAAGAGAGAGGGCTAGAGAGTTAGAAACATCGATGAGAGAGTCATCAATCAGCTGCCTCTTGCACCACCCCTACTGGGTACATGCCCTTGACCAGAATCGAACCCTGGACCTTTCAGTCCAAACCGGTTTCAGCATGGCTCACTTCTTTACTATAAAATTTCTACAGGGCCAAAGCAGCACCTCCTCTGCTCTCCTGCTGCTTCTATGCTAAGGCCTTCTATTATTTCACTGTCCCAGCTTTAATAAATGTTCTCTGAAAATCACCTGGACTCCTAAGATCTTTCCAGCATGAAGTCAAGAACCCTCACCACACAGGCCATGGGCGGCGATGGCTCGGGCGGCTTCTTGTGACAGCTTCAGGATGGAGGCTGTAGCTTTGGCTTGCTGCTGGCCGGAGTGGCCACTGTTCCTAGAGGCCACATCAGTGCTTTGCTCTTTGAGCTTCTCCAACATGCTTGCTTAGTTCATCCAGCCCACAGGGGAGTCTCAGTCTGGTAAGGAGGTTTATGACATCCCAGCAAGTCAGATCCGGCCCTGCTCCCGGTGCAGGCGCTGCAGGGCCGCCACCGCGCAGCAGGCGGCGCTGGGCTCGCCTCCTCCGCCGTCCGGAACGCTCGCGGGTGCCGCGTCCCCGCTGTAGGCCGCCTGTGCTCAGTGGCCGCGATGGCGGACGTGTCCGAGAGGACGCTGCGGCTGTCCGTGCTGTTGGCCTTCGCCTCCGGGGTGCTCGTGGGCTGGCAGGCGAACCGGCTGCGGAGGCGCTACCTGGACTGGAGGAAGCGGAGGCTGCAGGGCCAGCTGGCGGCGGCGCAGAAGAAACTGGACCTGGCCTGAGCGCGCCCGCACACCCCACCCGCCACCGAGGCTCCTCGGCAGTGTCGGTGAGCAGTGCGGAGAGTGGCTCTAAGTCTACGTGGAGACGGCAGCTCCCACAGACACCAATAAGAGGGGGAAGCTCTGTTTCCCCAGTAACTTACACTGTGTCCCAGTTCATTGCATGTGTTCACTGGGAATTCCTTACCAAGTGCAATGTAGCACCGTGGACCTTGCATTCGTGTTGTGTACTCTCCAGTCTGAGTCCCTGGCAGAATGGGAAGGGAGAGAGAGGGTCTGAAGTCAGGAGCCTTGCATCTAGTCCTGGCTTTTTCATCCAAGCTGTAACACCAGATGTTGTAGTTCATGGTTTAGCTCCACAATAGGATAAGTTGAAGTTAATGATTATGTATTTCTCTCTCTCTCTCTCTCTCTTTTTTTTCCTCCCTCTTTTCTGTTTCCATAGCTTGTTGAAGATGGATATAGAGCACTGGACAGAAATTATTTCTCCTTGCACTTATGCACCGATTTTATTTTTAAAATAAAATTTCAAACATCTTTGAACTTTTTTATTAAAAGGAGAAGTATCTTTATTGGCCATGCAGTTCACTGCATCAAGAGACCTGGGTTTTCAAACTATGTTAGTGTCTTTGGGCGGCTATCTTGTTTCTTAAGGAATCTATGCTAATTCCTTGGCACAACTGCAAAGCAGAATTGGCCTGGGCATTGTTGTGAGTCCTTTTGGTCAGTTGTTTACTAGACCTGATCAGGAAAGTAAGAGGCTGAATAAAAATAACTGAGATTAGACAGCCAGTGTTAACCTATGAACCAGAGGTCATGATTTCTATTCAGGGCACATGCCTGGTTATGGGTTGATCCCCAGTATGGGGTGTGCAGGAGGCAGCGGATCAATGATTCTCTCTCTTATCATTGATGTTTGTATCTCTCTCTCTCTCATTTTCTCTCTGAAATCAATAAAAATGTATTTAAAAAAATAATTGAGGTTATTATTATTATTGCCCTTTAGGATCTTAAATTAATCCAAATAATATTTACTGAGTATCTACTACAGCAGTTGACACAAAAGACTAAAATCCCTATTTTCATGCAGTTTACATTCCAGTGGAGGGAGTTTGATAATAAAGATAAGTAAATTATAGTTCAGAAGGTGATCAGTGTTATGGGATGAAATAGAGCACAATAGGGTAAGAAAGACCAAGAAAGCTGAAGTCAGGGGCAAGTGAGAGGGCATATTGCAAAATCTCTGATAAAGTATCTGATTTTCTAGAAGCTCAAAATACCTTCAAAAATAAATCTTTTGAGGAATAGGGCTACGATGTCTATCAAGTTGACACTCAAGAAGAGGATGAGGTCTATGTTTTACCTTATTTGGGAATGATCTTAATTAGCTTCTCTTACCTTGACTCAAGCTCATTTCCATAAAGAGAAGATGGATCTTTTCTTTTTAAAAAAATTTAACATTTTTATTGATCTTAGAGAGGAAGGGAAAGAGAGAGAGAGAAACATCGATGAGAGAGAATCATTGATTAGCTGCCTCCTGCACACCCCATACTGGGGGTTGAGTTGCAACCTGGGCATGAGCCCTGACCAGAAACTGAACATGACCTCTTCGTTCATAGATCAGAGGGTGCTCAACCACTGAGCCATGATGGCCAGGCTGGTCTCGTTTTCAACACTCAGCAAGGGGTTTCGGTGGGCATGTTGACATGAAGATCCCTGAAGCTCAGGAGGGGTGTGGCACTATTGAAAACTTCTTTCTCACAACGAGGGATCCTTGGAAATCCCAGTGCAGTAGTTTATAGGTGACAAGCAGCTAAGAGATCCAAGACCTAAGGCTCTGTAATTACCGGTGGGTTTGTTGCCCAGGGACCTGCCTAATCCGTCTAAATGTCAACAAATAACTTCATATCATTGTGAGAAGTGAACTGAAAATGACTCAATAAATCACCAGCGACTCCCTGGAAACCAGACTCTCAGGAGCCTGAATACTGGAGGGAGTAAGGCAGAAGGGCCAGCTTGAAAGTTCGTGGTTCCCCCTGTCTCCTCTTCTGTGTGGACACACCCGATGCAGCTGTTTGACCTCTGGCGGCTCCTCAGTGCTCCTAGAAGACTTTACCTCAAGCATCTCCTTATTAGCAGGGACATTTTAGGCCTGAAAAACAATGAGACATTTGTGCGTCTAGGAGCATATGGAACATGCATGCGAAGGAGAAACCCTCTTGAATAGAGCTTAGTGATGAATCTCCTCTCCATCTAAAAATCAAGAGCGAGAGACCAAGCCTGGTTATTGTGGGTTTGCAAGAGGTGCTTTTTAGAACACAGCCCTTGTTTGTTCCTATAAAGATTAATTGTTTTTGTCTTAGTAAATGTAATGACATTTCCATGTCAACAAGAAAATTCAGAAAGTTGTTTCCACAGAAAGCCTTCTCCTCAGTTTACTGGGGTCATTATGCTTTACTGCCAACCTTGTGTTCATTCTGTGAATGCAGTATTCGAGGACTAACATGCTCATTCTTAGAGTTCCATCCTACTAGGGTTTTGTAGCTGGTGACTCAGGCTCTGAAAGAATTCACAACTAAATGAAGAGATAGATGCAGAGAGAAAGTTTATTTTTACTTTCCCTGAAGGGAAAAGGCCCGTGTATTCCTAATCAACATAATGATGGTAACAAATAGCAGCTTGCTCTTTTTTTTTTTTTTAAATCAATCTTTATTGTTCATATTATTACAAAGGTTCATTTCTTCCCCCCTCCACCAGGTTCCCACCCCACCCTCCGCCCCCTCTCCATCCCCCATTGTCCTCATCCATAGGTGCACAGTTTATGTTCAGTCTCTTCCTCCCTCCCTTTCCCCGAGAACAGTCAGTCCACTCCCCTCCCATATTACCAACTCTACTACAATGAACCACTATTATTGTTCATCAGGTTTTTCAATCTCCTTTTTTGTTGTTGTTGTTGTTTTTAATTAATAAACTTTTACACTTCTAAGAATAAATTTTAAAATCTAATAATTTTAAACCTTGTTTTTTTCTGCCCTGGGAATTGAGAGCAAACTTGTTTACATGTAAACTTGCCCTTAGGCTATCAAAAAAAGCCATTCAAGTGTAAATGAACACATTGTTTAAACATAGCTGCTGGTTGGAATTGGATTACCTGTTCTGGGTGGGAAGGGCTTGTCATTCCCTTTCTCCATTAAAATTAAGGTGTTAGCTTTAAAACCTCTTTTTGGCAAGAGACCTTAAGCTTTCAGAACTTTAAATTTTTCAGATAGTAAATCAGTTACTTAGCATTTTCTCAAATCAATAATGCTTCTACATGCCCAAGGATATACTTCACACAAAAGACATTTCCAAATAGATCAACCAACCTCATCCAGGCCCCACACAAGGCACTCACAGATCAACACCCCAGCGCTATACTAACTCAACACATCCAGATCTAAGCCTTCCTCATTTGCTTCAGCAGACCCTCAAGTTCCCCCAAAAGTTTCCAGCCATGTCTGAGAGGCAGCCTTGGGGCAGAGGCAGGCGAGGAGAGAGCTGTTCTGGGTCTGGCTGCTCTGGGCCTGGCCTCTGTTGCTCTGGTCCGTTACACAACCAGCTGCTCCGGGTCTGGCCACTACCGTTCCCAACCTGGCTGCTCCGGGCATGGCTGCTGCTGCTCTGGGCCCAGCCGCTCCAGGCCTGGCTGCTTCCAGCCTGGCTGCTGCTGCTCCGGGCCTGGCCACACCCGACTCGGTTGCTCTGGGCCTGGTTGCTCCGGGCCTGGCTGCTTCCACCCTGGCTGCTCCCACCCTGGCTGCTCCAAGCATGGTTGCTGCTGCTCTGTGCCTGGCTGCTCCCAACCCACCTGCTCTGGGCCTGGGCCCAGCCGCTCTGAGCCTGGCAGCTCCCAGCCTGGATGCTCTGGGCTTGGCTGCTGATGTTCTGGGTCTAGCTGCTCCCGACCCAGCTACTCTGGGCCTGCCTTTTCTGGGCCCGGCCACTCCAGGTCTGGGTGTTCCTGAACTGGCCACCCTGGGCTTGGCCACCTCCGCCTCAGGCCTGGCTGCCACTGCCCCAGGCCTGGCTGCTCCAGGCCTGGCTGTTGCTGCTCTGGTTCTGACTGCTGCTGCTCTGGGGCCTGGCTGTTGCTGCTCCAGGCCTGGCTGCCACTGCCTTGTGCCTGGCCACTCTAAGCCTGGCCGCCGCCATTCCAACATTCTGTCCTTTTTTCTTTTTTTTAAAAAAACGCATTTATGTTGCAATGTTGGCTGCTGAGTTGAGTTCTGACTTAGTCTTAGATTTTTCAAAATCTTCTTTGTATTCTTTCTTAAGTAATTTTACTATCTTTTGCTCTCACTCGGTTTCTTCACATTGAGAACTTCTTTGGTTTCTTCCTCCTTGTCCTGGGAGCTCAGCAGGTTGGCCTGTGGCACCCCTTTGTTCTCTGCGGGCTCCTGCGCTGCTTCAGCCTGTTGCAGGGGTCGGCACCGCCGACTCACAGGAATAAATGCTTGTAACTCTGAATATGGCACAAAAATGTGTAAAATCAAAGTCAACTGAGGTGAGCAAGGGTAATAAACTGTTTTCATTCTTCTCATTGCTCATATGTATACACATATGTTGGGAGTTTATGTTTCCCAACATAGACTATATCCATGACTTTTCCATTTAAAATATGGAAATTTCTTTAAATCAGATATAGGATTTTTCCCTGAAAATTTTTAAAAATATTTTTATTTTTATTGATTTCAGAGAAGAAGGGAGAGGAAGGGATAGAAACATCGATGATGAATCATTGATCACCTGCCTCCTGCATGTCCCCTACTGGGGATCCAGCCCACAACCGAAGAATGTGCCTTTGACCGGAATTGAATCCAGGACCCTTCCGTCTGCAGGCCGACGCTTTATCCATTGAGCCAAACCATCTAGGGCACCTAATTTATTTATAGAAATACTGTATTTAAAACAAATAAGGATTTCATAAATGAGGGATTGACTTTAACACCTACGAGATCACTTATCAATACAACTTTGAGAAAATAGGCAGTATCTACTAAACCTAAACAAGAAATATGGCCTGGGTCCCAGCATTATGCACCTATGTTCCCACTGTGTACATATGTAATTAGTTATAATAGCTATAAACTGGAAACTTTGCACATGTCTAGCAACAGCAGAAGGAATGAATTGAGTACATCACACACAAAATATCAGGATGAACAAACTGTAATGGCCCACAGTCATGTAAGTGTATCTCACAAACATGTTGAATAAAAGCCGGACAAAGCTGCCAGGACACACAGTTCAGAAAGGCAAAACTAGGGTAGTGTTTACTTTGACATGGAAGGAGTGGGGCTGTGAGGAGAAGACTACTAGGGTACTGGTACTGTTCTGAATCCTAATCTGGGTGATGTTATGGGGATGTTTCAGTGTGAAAATTCAGTGAGGTGGACACTTGTCACTTTTATTTATTTTATACCTGAAGATAAACACCATACATAGATAGCATGGCAGCCAGACCTGTGGAATCAAATTGTGTGTGGTCCTGAAGCACATTTATATTAAT